TTCAGAGGCAGCAGGAACAGGAGTGAAGAAAGGCCCTGGAACGTCTAGCAGCTGTGTGGAGAGGAGTTTCCCAGGAAGATCTTGTGACATGTGCCAAGGCCTTGCCACCACACTCTCGGAAGGGACTTGCTTATTCTCTAGCATCCTTGACACTTTATTCAGTGCCCAGAGCAAACATTTATTTGCTGACCGGAGCAACCAGCATGGTCCCTTTCATTGAAATAAACTCTTAAATAAAAGCTGAAGAGCAAATGATATTATGGACAGCCCTATTTCTGACCAGGCTCCCAGCTCTCATTCTGCTGCCTCTGCTTGGCCAGGGCATAGGGTGTTCTACCTGCTCTGTGACTCAGTTTCTCCACAACAGGACAGACACCCCATACTTTTTGAAGCTCATTTCCTCACAGCACCTTGAAAGTTTTGGCAGATCCTACTGGCATGAAACCCCATGATGTGCTGGGAAAAGTCCTGACACATGCATTAATGACTGCAAGAATATCTAACATCTGTTAGGTGAAAGAAAACAGTAAGGCCCCATGGAGAACTCTGTCTGCTTTCTGTAAGGTCCACTTACCACAGGTTACTGGCAAAAGTCAGCATCATCCTTTCACATCCCAGGCCAGCCTCCTCTGGTTCAAGCAATGGTCCCACATCTTTGCTGCCTGCATTCAGACCCAGGGATGCTGGATGGTTTCAGGGCATCGCTCTGAGGGTCTATTCCCAGCAGTGTCATGGGAGTCACCCATCAGAGTGCTACTTTTAGCCCAGTAGAGCAAACTCACAGCAGTGTTGTCCTGCCAGCATTAATGGAGCTTTACAGAAGTGACTCCTGCTTGCTCAAGCCTCTCTCCACCACCTGATCCTGCATGCAGAGAGCATGGAGATTTTTTTTTCTCTTTCCCCTTTTCACTCGTGCTATTTTTCATTTCTTCCATTCCTTTTTTCTGAACACATGGGTATAGCTCTGCTTGTAGAAATCCCACAGTTATTCCTGCTTCATCCCAGGGCAGTTCAGCAGAGATAGTGATCCTCTGATTTCTGCCCTTACACCCTCTCCAAGAAGCTAGTTCTTGGCATTGCAGGGAGAGGGATGATTTGATCTTTATTAATTTATTGAAGGGAAGGAACAGGGTGGAAATTGCAAGGAAAGGGACAGCCAGCAAGATGGCAAGGAAGAGAGGTTAAAAATGAAGTCATCATCTAATTGGCCTGCAGTGAATTATTCACATGTATAATCTTTTTTAAAGAAAAAAATTTCAGCACAAGGCAATGCAAGTAAATGCTGTTCATGTTTAAAAGTCATTTCCATAAGTAAGTGCAATTTCTCTACTGTTTGCCCCTGTTTAATGAAGTGAAATCTTGTTTGCATTCCTCCCAATTTCCCAACGAAAGGCGCCCAAGCGTTTGCACCAAAATTACTCGGCCCAAATTAAAACCCTCCAACACTTAAAAAAAAAAAAGAGGAAAGGGGGGAAAAATCAGACTTATTTTTAAAATGCCTTAAGTGCATCCCAGCATCCTAATTTATTTTTAGACACTTGTTATTAAGAGTAGTAGTAAGTTTCCCCTTTTCTCTCGCTCTCTCTCTTATTTAAATGAACTTAATGGCAATAGATGCAAATGTCTGGAAGAGGAAAATAGTTAACATTTATTTATTCTTACTGTTGTCTCTTCCCTGGCTGGTGTCATTAGAACAGTTCGTTGCATCCCATTCGCTCCCATTAGCTCTGCTATCAGAGCCACCCAGCACGACTCCAACACGGCTCGAAGTGCTTTCTGCGGCCCACATAGGGACTACATCATCATCTCTGAGGCACTGGCTTAATGACAAGAAAAAAAATCGGAATATATTGCACAGTGATCTGGGGAAACAACAACAAAACCTACTGCAACCATCGCTGCCACCCGATGCTGTCTCCCCTTGACCAGGGACACACACCCCGGCTTCACTCGGGCAGGCAGACAGACAGACGGACCAGCTGTGGAGCTGGGGCAAACGTGCCTTCACAATTTATTGAGCTGGGCAATGTACAGAGAAATATGCCAGCAGGGACCCGGAGTGCTTGGAAACGTGCTCGGGAGGACCCAGCAAGACTGGAATGGGTTCAAACAGCTGCTCAGTGCCAGCAAAGCCATCTCCCCCAACATGGGGCTGCCAGCCAGTCAGCTCCTGGCTCCCCAGCATGGGCAGGAGCTGCCAGCTGGGGCTGGTGGTGGGGTGAGGAGTTTGCACCTCCTCACTGATGAACCTCACTTTCCTCCAGTGCCCCTGCAGGAACATTCCCTAAAGCAAACCAGACCAGCTCACTTGTGTGAGCAGCCATGTATCTCAGGGACATGTGGCCCAAGCTGCCAGCTCCAGCTGATGGCACAAGTCACCCTGCAAGGCACATCATGCCAGCCCACCAACCACTGCTGCAGAGATAAGGAGCTTAGCTCTAATCCCCCCTCAGGAAATGGTGGCCAAGAGCTAGAGCTGGCAGGCAGCAGCCCAGAGAGTCAGGTGCCCTGATGCCCAGGAGAAGTGGTCAAAACCCACCATCCCCCCGAGCACTGGAGTCCTCTCCAATCCCCTGGAACTGGAGGTGGACCTGGCCCACACCACAGGGGCAATATCCCTTTGCAAGCAAGTGGGGCACAACAGGTTGCCCACCCAGAGTGACTGCAAGTTTTGGGGTCTTCTGAGCCCTCCACCCCACAGGTAGCACACGGGCAAGAGTGGCAGCAAGCACGAGAGAGAGAGACCAGGGCTCGGTAACAGCCCCAGCTGACAAAGCAGCATCTGGGAGGGAGGACATCAGCATCTGCAGTGCTGACACATAGAAGAGAGGCAGCAGCTACTGCAGGCGGGGATGGAGCCATGAGAAGAGCCCTCCCCCCTCCATAAAGTTGACATTGTCTCCCGTGATAACTTTTCTGCTGAGGTAGGAGACACTTTACTGCAGAGTTGCACACAGCAAGTAGCTGCCCTCCCCCCGCCCCTTCCCATCCTCTCCCTCTCTCTCTCTCTCCAGCATCATTTACATCCTTAATTAGCTGTAATTCTGCAGTGCTCATTAGGGAAGGACTGGAAAATATCAGGGAGCCCACAAGCAGGGGGCTTCAGGGGAGAGGGATGAAGAGGGGAATGCAGGTGTCAGGCTGAGAGGGGATGCCCAAGGCTGGATTGTGAAGCCAGGAGCAACTTGCTTAATTTGGGTGGGATGATTACACTAATTTGGGAGCACTGATCCAGTGATGGGGTTAAAGAGGCCACACTATCCCACCTAGAAAGGCAGAGGACGTGTACAGAGTAAGAGCATCTCACCAACAGGACTTGTTCTTACCTCCTTGCTCACAGGTGATAGCTCTCTGCTGTATTCAGTGCCCCACACTCTCAAAAGTCAGCAGTCAGGCACAGAAGGATGGCAGTCTTCCCTGTCAATGCAGACAGCTACACAAACCAGTCTTCTCCTCCAGCCTCATGAGGAATTATCCAGCAAGGAGGTTTCTCTGGAAAACTGAAGCTGACTGAGCTAAAGCACTTCTGCCAGGTGTGCCACTGTGCTGCAACCTTTTAGCTGGAGGAAGAAAGACCCAAAAGTGATCCAGAAGAAAATCGGAATGAGATAGTTACTTTTTAAGTTAGACGCTCTCTTGATTTAAAACGAGGAGATGAACCTTCTGAATATTACTTCAATGACCTAAAAAACCAAAAAAGCAAGAAATTAGGACTTGAAACTATAGGAAAACTTTATATTCCAGGTTGTTAAATGAAATATATCCTTCAACCCTAAATGGGCAGACATTGTAAAGTTTTATTGTTGGTGCAGATATTTGATATAATTCCTTTGGGGACCACCAGAAGACCTGGGCAGTTCTACTATGGACTCATTCAGGAGTATACAAATACAGGGAAGGTTAAGTCCTCCCTTTTCACAGTCTCAAGGTACAAGACCATTAAGGAGGTACTATTGCCTCCTTGCCTTAGCTGGAGAACAGAGAACAGGTAAATTAAGTAAACAGGGCAACACCATCATGGAAATTTGTGGCAGAGCAAGGCAGTGACCCCAGATTTCCTATTGTCTCTTTGAACCACTAGTTACAAGCCATCTTCCCTTATGCTGTAGCACATGGACCTTTGTATGCCCACTTGCACTTGCAATTCTGGGCACATATCTGGCTATTTTTTAATTCACTGCCTACCTGTACCTTTGCTCAAGGTTAGATGTGCATGTAAAAGTCTACCTGGGAATTCAGTGAAGTCATTGAGGATGGTCTTTGCAAGTCCATCCTCCTACTTTTCACTTGCTGGCAGTAATGTGAGCCAACAGGTTGAGCTGTGACAGTGTGCCACCCCAAAGACTCAAAATGATCACCAGTACATATAGGGTTATTTACAGATATGTGAGCATGTGCACAAATGTGCTCTTGCTCTTTGAAGTATCTTCCTTTTTCATTAACATCTTCAAATTCCTGTTAGTGTTTGGATGAAACTTGCCATAACAGAGAATCAAATTAAGGAAGTGTGCCAGAACAAGGTAAGAGAAAACCCCAATGAAGTATGTTTTCATAGAAGTCTCTAGAACCTTTAAAAAACAGAATTGCAGTGATTCATATCATTGGCTCTGAGGTTTAACACAGGTTAATTCCATTTGCATTTACCAAGGACAACATATTTACATCATTCAAGAAAAGAGAATACTGGCCATCATTTTGTATTAATATCTGGCTTTTCTTGTCGTGTCTAGTATGTAGATTTCTAAGGTCTCTACAAAGAGAAAGACAAAATTTCCAGCTCCACTCTACATGAAATTCAGGCTGCAAAGAAGTAGCAGTTGGTCAGAGACTGCCTGGATCTAGTTGCAGTGCTTTAAAGAACATTTTCTCTACACTTCCAAGGAACCATTTAGTCAAGGATTTAAACAACAAATGGACGACGACAAACCTTCAGAATGGATTTTGTTCGTTACCACTCGAATCTCTGGGACAAAAGAAGAAGATCGGGGGGAAAAAATGCTAGATCCACATGCCTATTAGAGATGTTCAGCTGGTACAAGGAAAGATACCTCACTGCTGCCCAGCTGCAGAAGACAGGGGTGCCAGCTAGCTTAGACCTCTGTGGAACCTTAGCTCTGCCCGCATGATGTGGGTGACTGGCAGGATTCTGCAGAGGGTAAATACCTGCTGCCAGACATCCACAGAGGAGGGTGTGGATGTGGAAGGAGCTGCTTATGGTTCTTGCACAGCTCACAACTGCAAAGGCCAGCTGCTGGGCAGCAGCTCATCCTTGCATGAAGCTGTCTGCACTTTCCTGCTCACAGCAGTCAGTGATTTCCTTCAAAATGGCTCAAAAGTGTCTTTTATAAATTGCTCGTTAGTGGGTTCTTTCATACCTGGAGTATCAATAAACGGCGTCATTCCCACAGCCTACTTGCCATCATTATATTTCTTCTGCACTTCGTCCTTCTGCTTGAAGCCTAGAGGAACAGCAGGGCCTTGCCTTTTGCCTTTCAGCCACAGTCAGAAGTCCTGGGCTCAGACCAAATGAATCTGGGTTGAAGTGAGACTAAGCAGACACCTAGAAAAGCAGGTAAAGTATGAATTACAGATATTCAAATAAGGGCCACCTTTCCCACAGTTTGGTTTCAAGGCTGGCTCTATAAAGGATGAACCCAAGGCATAAAGTTGAGTTCTACACAACTGTCAGAATCAGCAGCAAATTTCCACCAGTGGTGGATGGCCATATATGAGCAAATGGAGATGACTCAGGAGGAACATAACTGATATGCACAGAAGCAAGCTCTTTTGTGTATGTATATGGATGGGCACATGGGAGTTAAATTACATATGTATATGCACATTTGTATTTTCATGGGTGTGTTGGGGTGTGCCTGATGCTGCACATCAGTGTGTGCAGATGCCAGCAGAGGAAGGGGTACCCCCCAGGCTGCACACTAGCTGAAGTGTGGGTGAGAATTTGTGGACTGGTACTGAATAGCTTGAGGCGTCAGCTGTAAGGGCTTATTTCCACTACAGAGCATTTTCTCACACTAAGAGTCAATGAAACCATTCTGTCAACCCTCCCTCAGGTACCACACGGGAAATGTAACACCAAGGAAACATTTGGGAAGATTTCTGGTCACTGAGACTGTGGTAACTTGGGGAGAAAGCCTAGGCTGTGATAAGAGACTGCTCATGTAATTTGCAGAGGTACTTGGCTGACTGAACGGCCTTACACTTTGCAAGTATTCTTTTGGTTTCAGCAACATATTCTCTGTCTCCCTCACTCTTTCACAGGGGCTTGGAAGAAACACAGATCTCCTCTACACTAGCTTTCCTGGCATTGTTGCCTGTGGTGACTCCTGCTGGGAGAAACTGAGAGGAGAAAGCTCGGACCTGGCCAACCCTGCATCCCCACGCAGCTTCACACCGGGCTGCCTGCAGGGCTGCAGCAGCCAGGATCCTTCCAGCCTCCACCAGCCCCACTGTCCCCTCCGCACCCCTTCCCCAGAGCCACAGCCAGCTCAGAGCTCCCTCTACCCTTCACCCAGGCACGGTCTCCTGATGGAACTCTGCTTGCTGTCTGTGGTCCAGGTCCAGGCCCAGCTTTAGAGCATCTCCTTCAGAAATTAGTCCTCTCTCAGCAGTCAAAGCCAAGCCTAGCAGTGCCTCCTGCTGAACCTCCTGGCATGGCCAGCACCTCACTCGTTGGGCATTCTATCTTTCCCACAGAGACTCGGGCAGTCAGAGGGAGGGAGATTGATGGCAAGGAAAAGCAGCAGATGAAAAGTAAACTCACACTACATAAATCCTGAGATGATTTTTATAAGGACACAACATTGTTAACAACTTGCCAAGAACAACACAGAAATTATTTCAAGGTTTCCCATTTGTTTGTAAAGTGAATATTAAAGGTGCAGGCAGCAGTCTCCCGGTGTTCCCCTGGGAACTGTTGGTGTCCGTAGTAACGAGGTCATTCCTTTTTTATTAGGAGAAGGGTTTCTGTAAAGTTAAATGTGCTGACAGCCTCTTGCCTTTGATGTTGGGTTTCACCTCAGTCCCTCCTGCAGATATTGCTGTTCCTCCCTCGCAAAGACACATCCCTGACAAACAATCTCCCCTCTGTCTTCCCTACTTGTTTGTTTAGACGCATGATAGGCAGCTCTGTTAAAGGGCAGCACATGAAGGTGGGCTGGTGTTTCAGTGGATGGGAGAGATGTGAGAGATTTGGTTGCTGTAATTAAGTCAGTACTCATTCCCCCAAACTCCCAGGGCTTAGTACCCTTCATTTTATTGACCAGACAGATAATTACAGTGACAATAGTCACAAACCCCCCACTCGCAGTTGCGCTAAAACTGCTGTGGTGACATGTTCAGATGAACATGGGACCTGCAGAGCCCTTGCCACAAAGCCCAACCCGGAAGGGGAGGTGGGGAAGAGCACCCCAGCTCTATCCCTGCTCCCCCACAGCTCTCCTTGCTCTGCAGCTACAGGGACAAGTCCTCCCTCCCCAGCAGAGTGGAAAGGCCCTTCCACAGGGGGACACAGAAATCTCTGCTGCTGCCCTGTCTTAGTTATTGCAGCTCCTGCCCAAGCACCCTCCCTGTCCAGTGACCTGGCCATCCCTGTGCAGTTACCTCCAAGCACCCGTGTACTGTGCCTACCTGACCATGGCCAACAAGGATGTTAAAATATAGATGAGCTGCGGTCACTCCATGGCACACAGCAACCGTCTGACCTGCATAAAAAAAGAGGGATCTGATGAGGATGCCACTGAATTAGGGCTTGGGAGACTCCATTCTGAGCTCTACCAGAGTTTTCCAAAGATCTTGGGAAAATTAACTAAACAGCCTCCACAGTAAAAGCACAGGGTTGCCCCCAGAGCCTCACTCATCAGCTGCTCAGAGCCACAACCTCTGTGTGCTCTGTATGTGCATACACCACATCCAACACAAGGGAACCCAGGTCCCAGCAGGCACATCAGCACAGCACTGTAACACAAAAAAAACTAACATTTGTTTTTTGTTTGAACATTAAACAGGCAACAATGCCCACAAAGTGCATTGTGTGTAGCCACTCCTTAAGAGTAGCAAAAGATAAATAATACTTTCATGCTTCAAAGTGAAGTGCACATTGTGTGCACCCAAATAATAAAAAATAATGTGAGTATCCTTGTTCATCATGGACATAGTAGGAAGAAATCAACTTCTTCCCTGGGAACGGGTACTTAGAAATGATTTATTCACTCTTGGGAAATGAATGCAAAAACCAAAGAGACACTGTTGTGCACTGAGGTGGACCAGAAATTTGTCTGCCCATATTTAACCACAAGATCAAGAACTGTAATCGGGTGGCTGGTGATGGCACCAAAAACATTTCAGCTCTGGGATCCACGTTCAAAACCAAGCATGAGTCAGTGATACAGAAAGGCTGCAACCTCGAGTCCTACTGCTGTTCAGTGGCTGACATCAAGCAGGCTGCTACAATTCAGATTCATTTACGGACTACAGGCATGTGCATCAGCAGACCACCAGAAGAGGACCTCCCTGCTGGAGTCATGGAGATCTACATACTTCTAGAAAATACAGCCTAGCAAGCCTGGGTCTTATTTCTGGCTCAGTTAAGTCTGCTTGTTCCTCTGCTTGTACTGAGCTCTTTGTAAAATAGGCAGCTTTCTGAGGGAGGTAGGTATGATCCTAAAAGCAAAGCTACAACCAGGTAGTCTAGAGTAAGTGGCTCAGATTCTCAGTGGCTAAAGGTCCCAGATCAACAACTGGGAAATACAAATAATTTTGGCCATGGCACTATGCTTGAGACTCATTTCTCCATGATCTCACCTTGTGCCAGGGCTCTCTTGCTAGGCGCAGCACTGACCTCCTCTAACTCAGCACAACCCATTGGTTCCCAAACACAGCACCCATGAAACAGGAGACAAGCTTCCCATGGAAATGCAGTATGCCAGCATGGCAGGGGCTGGCTTCTGGTTGGGATGCATCAGCAGCGGTGTGGGCTGTACTCTGAGATGCAGCCGGGACAAAGGACTCATCCCCCAGCAGAGCCAGGACAAAACAGTCCAAAGCCAACTGCGGCAACGGGGGATATAGTCCACAAGCACACACAGCCAGGCAAGCCCTGGCCTTGGCCCAGCCGGGCTCCCTGGAGAAAGGGTGAG